CTTGTATACTTGCTTTAACATCTCTTAATTTGCCATGACTTGAACCCTTGCTTAATATCTCTTCATTTCACCTGACAGCCCTTGGTAATGTTAATAGGATCATATCCTGCAAGACGTTCCTCAAACATGAACGACCATATAGGCTCTGTGACATACTTATCCGGCCCTGAAGCCTGAAGTTCTTTTTAATAAGACAAAACTACAACCTCATGACGTTCTTCAGCGCAGCAGTCAACAATTGTGGCTCCAAAACAAGATTTAAAAGCCTGACAATCCTGTATTGCACCAATTAACCAAATTCCTATTCAGTCCATTCTCATTGGCTGCTATTAGATGCAGATATTCATTGATCCTCACTAGTTTCTTATGATTTCCATGAGATTTTTGGTCTGGGCACTATGGTAATATCATTTACCTTTACATTGCCAATACTATTATTGTCACATGTGGATAATAAATTACATTTACAATAAAATTTCAAAGTCAAGTTAATTTTTCATAATTTCAAATCGACATACTTTTTAAATTTCAGTTTAATAAACTTTCGACTGTAAACTACGTGTTTGTTTTTTTAGTGAACATATGGATTTATTACGCCATGGATTACCCACCACAAGGGTAAACAAATTTGGAAAGAAAGACGATATAGGAGCGTGGATTTCGGTAATCATGTTAAGACATCGAGTTACACAACATTCCGAAAATCAGAATCTGTCATATTTTTTTAAAGGCATCTCGGGGGTGAACCTTAAAAATCCTTAAAACGGCACCAGTACATTTGAGAATTTAGACTGACTATATCAAAGATAGAATAATGAGCCTTTATGATTTACATGAGGTGGGTAATAGATTACAATTGATAGATCTGAACCAAAAAGCAAGTCAGGCATTTGTTGACTACATTTTGGAGGTTCAAACTAAATTTCAAAGTCGGTAGATTCTGCAAAGATCAATAACAGGAGTTATTAGAAGATTAAATATTCGTATATTTAATAATTCGAGGCAAACGTTTGGAAAATATTACAGAAACCAACGACAACATTCTTCAATGAGCATAAACCTACTTGATTAGCTCATTGAGTCCCAAACAACGTTTCACGTGTGACTATTTACTCATATGCAGAAGTCGGAATATTATTTTGCTTGTCCTTTCGTGTTCAAACACGGCATAGTAAAAAAAAAAAAAAACCAACAGCAACACACAACACTACAAGGGTTGTGTATTTAGCTCCTGTGGATGTAGTATATAGTTTATTTTCAGAAAAAAAGAAGACAAACGGAATATACCACAGGCCGCCCGACGCAGACAGCCGAGGGCATTGCACCTAAGGGGACCAGCACTTGGGAATTCCAGTCACCGTCATGCCACCCCACCCCACGTGTATGTTAATAAATGCATTTCCATTGTATTTCAGACCAAGTGACCTCAGCCGACCAGGGTGGATCCTGCCTCTATCTGTCACTCTCATTCTCCCGACCTCACTATCACATCTACTGGCACATTCGGGCAAACTGACCTCTCATTTGCAGTCTATCTTACCTCCACTACTTCTCCACACTCCATGAAAAAAAAAAAAAAAAAAAAAAAAAAAAATTTTTTTTTGGGGCCGATCACAACAGATTGTGACGGCCCTGTTTGTCCTGAAAAGGAACATTGTTCGTATCGACGGCGCAACGGATATTTGTTTGGCTTTTTCCGGCGGCTTTTAGATCGGCAACCAAGCAGCAACAGGGCACCAGCACAGCGACCAGCACGAGGCAAACCAAGCACCAGCAACAGTCAGCTAATACCCATCAATATCACCGCAAAGAGATCTGGCACACACCAGAACCCAAAACCGCAAACAACGCAGCACAGCAAGGAAGCAAACAACCATAATATCAGGTGTGACTACACACCACAAATAAAAGGAAACCACATAAGACAGCAAAGGACCCTTCTTCGATATAGCAGGCCTCCGGGCGGCTGAAAGAGGATCAAGTTTGGAATTTTTCTTGGACAACTGGCAATGGCATTGGTATGCCCATGAGTTTACTGCTGTGATTAGTTATTGCCTCATTCTGGCATCAGCTTTGACCTTCTGGGATTGAAAGAAGCTAGTTTTGTTGGAACAGATAGAGGAGAACTACTTTGCGGCTCACCGCGATATTTGTGTTACATCACAACAAGCTGATATGTATTCAGGAGCGAGTGCACAAGAACTGAAGTCGCAGCAGACAATGTATAACATCCGATCAATCAAAGCCAAACTATACAGGAAAGAGAAAGGTTAGATAGCAGAGTGCAAAGTACTCGTACTTTAATACCCGTCAGTTTCCTCACCTTTACATTACTGCCCAAATAGGTGTATGGCCATACTGCCCAAATAGGTGTATGGCCACATCTCGCAAGCGAGCACCTATGAATGGGTTAGACAACTCACACAGAACACCTCTCTTTGACCTTACGTCTTCCGCACCCTGACAGTCTACACCCAACCCTGACAGTCTACACCCAACCCTGACAGTCTACACCCAACCCTGACAGTCTACACCCAACCCTGACAGTCTACACCCAACCCTGACAGTCTACACCCAACCCTGACAGTCTACACCCAACCCTGACAGTCTACACCCAACCCTGACAGTCTACACCCAACCCTGACAGTCTACACCCAACCCTGACAGTCTACACCCAACCCTGACAGTCTACACCCAACCCTGACAGTCTACACCCAACCCTGACAGTCTACACCCAACCCTGACAGTCTACACCCAACCCTGACAGTCTACACCCAACCCTGACAGTCTACACCCAACCCTGACAGTCTACACCCAACCCTGACAGTCTACACCCACTAATTAAACCTAAACAAAAAATGTGGGCAGCAATGATGACAGCTACAATGACATTCTAGAATTGCAAAGAATAGATCTCCGCGCCAAATTTCCCACATTAGATTTGAATTACTATTACCATTAAGCAACGACTAACAGAGTAATCAAATCTTTACGTCCTTTTTTTTAAACCGCTTGGGTGTCGAGGGAGAAATAAGGTCCTGCTTCGTGCATATATAATATGCATATTATTTCATGAATATAACATGCTTCATTGATGAAATACAACTGCTGTGTGAAAGATGGAAGTTTGGAAGGGCCGAATGTAAGACAGGCCTGCGTGCCTAATTTGTAACTTTGAAAATAAGTTCGTTCGTTCGTTCGTTCTTCTGGCTGCTTGGACCAAAGACATCGTGATACTGTAGAGTTTCTCGGATGTTTTCGGATGTTATCCTTCTATCGGCTATCTTAATGGCTGCCTAAAAAGGCCAAGTGTTGCGCGCGTATGTTATGTTTGCCGATTATCAGGCGGAACTGATCTGTCAAACAATAACAGCCGAGAAAGCAAAGCTTGCACCGCAAAAGCCAGCAACTGCACAATGCAATATGCGAACACAATTATTAAACTGGTGAACATATAAAACAAGGGGACGAAGTTTTATTATTGCCAAACAAAATTGCAAATAAGCTCCGTTGAATGGTTTGGTCCCTACAATATCACGACAAGGGTTGTAATTTGTGGATTAACACGTTCAGTGAAAGAAGGAAAAAACAAACTACACCAGTATGCTAAAACTGATGCAAGACGATTAGTGTTTTATAATGAAAATGCGTGTTTACAGTGACTAATGTAAGAAAACCACCGTGGCCAATAATATTGCAAATGTTGCTGCTCCCGAGGTTATGTACTTGATGCTGACAATTACGACAGTTAGCCCTCATATTTTTTCATAACCATGATGGACCAGGAGACATTTATGGCAGCAGGACCTTCAGGCAAAACGAAGAAGGAAAATGGTAATTAAGCTTCAGTCTCAGAGGTGGCCACACCCATAACTACACCTCCGATTCCAATTCCTTTGAAGGGAAAAAAAAAAAAAAAATCACACCCTTCACACTGCTGCTAGCTATATACAACATATTTATGTTGTCGGAAATGGCGGATTAAGATCTACGAACCCACTTCAGTGTACACGGAGCCATCTAAAGCTGCTTAGTTATACGAAATCTAAAAACTAAACGGTCAATGAGGTTTGGATTTGTCACCTACAGAGACATCGAAGGTGTTGACCGTGCCCTGCCAGCGAGACCGTACACCGTCAACGACACAGTGGTAGAAATATTGAGGGATATGCACAAGACAACTAAAATAGCATCTGCACTTGTAACAAAAGCCACAAACAATTTCTCATTCCACTTCCTTATAGGAAAAAAATAATCAAAAACTCAACCACGTTTATTCTGCTGCTAGCTAGCCGAAACTGCCAAAGTTTCTGCTTATATTTGTTGTCTGGTTTATTTGCGCCACTTTCGTGGCTTTCTGGTATTTGGGTCGGACCTCTGCCAGAGAGGGCTTGTAGACAGACTTGCGTGATTCATTTGCACCGCTTGTACATAAAAGAAATCACGATAATGGACGAAAAGTCCCGCCGAGACAATGGCAAATGGCGAGGCTTTGGGTTCGTCACTTTCGACGATCCTGACCCTGTGGATCAAGTTATACTGAGCTGTCCCCATAAAATGAAAGGAAAAGTGTTGTTCTGTGACAAGGGGGTTAACGAAAGAAAATGTCCAGCTGAGAAGCCAGTAGAGGTGGCCAAGGATGCGGTTCGGTGCGACACCGTCGCCAGTGAGTGCATGGTCAGATCCCTTATCAGAGAGGTTCGTGCAGATGCCGCTATGGTGCCAGACAATAGAAGGCAGTGGTTTCATCATCATCATCATCATACTTAACATCATGTGCCTGCCATATAGCGAAGGCGTTCATTCATCTCCACATACCTCGGCCTATGATGTTCGGCATCAACTCTAATACTTCAGATTTTTTTTTTTTTTTAATGTGACGGTGCAAATACACTCAACATTTTGAGGTCTAAACTGAATTTGACCCGATTGCCAGGTCGGAATATTTGTGGGGGGGGGGAAACATGCGCAACACATGTCGGCTACAGTGCTTCTTGTACCTAGCTTCTTGTACCTAGCTTCTTGCTTCTTGTACCTAGCTTCTTGCTTCTTGCACCTAGCTTCTTGCTTCTTGCACCTAGCTTCTTGCTTCTTGCACCTAGCTTCTTGCTTCTTGCACCTAGCTTCTTGCTTCTTGCACCTAGCTTCTTGCTTCTTGCACCTAGCTTCTTGCTTCTTGCACCTAGCTTCTTGCTTCTTGCACCTAGCTTCTTGCTTCTTGCACCTAGCTTCTTGCTTCTTGCACCTAGCTTCTTGCACCTAGCTTCTTGCTTCTTGCACCTAGCTTCTTGCTTCTTGCACCTAGCTTCTTGCTTCTTGCACCTAGCTTCTTGCTTCTTGCACCTAGCTTCTTGCTTCTTGCACCTAGCTTCTTGCTTCTTGCACCTAGCTTCTTGCTTCTTGCACCTAGCTTCTTGCTTCTTGCACCTAGCTTCTTGCTTCTTGCACCTAGCTTCTTGCTTCTTGCACCTAGCTTCTTGCTTCTTGCACCTAGCTTCTTGCTTCTTGCACCTAGCTTCTTGCTTCTTGCACCTAGCTTCTTGCTTCTTGCACCTAGCTTCTTGCTTCTTGCACCTAGCTTCTTGCTTCTTGCACCTAGCTTCTAGCTTCTTGCACCTAGCTTCTAGCTTCTTGCACCTAGCTTCTAGCTTCTTGCACCTAGCTTCTAGCTTCTTGCACCTAGCTTCTAGCTTCTTGCACCTAGCTTCTAGCTTCTTGCACCTAGCTTCTAGCTTCTTGCACCTAGCTTCTAGCTTCTTGCACCTAGCTTCTAGCTTCTTGCACCTAGCTTCTAGCTTCTTGCACCTAGCTTCTAGCTTCTTGCACCTAGCTTCTAGCTTCTTGCACCTAGCTTCTAGCTTCTTGCACCTAGCTTCTAGCTTCTAGCTTCTTGCACCTAGCTTCTAGCTTCTTGCACCTAGCTTCTAGCTTCTTGCACCTAGCTTCTAGCTTCTTGCACCTAGCTTCTAGCTTCTTGCACCTAGCTTCTAGCTTCTTGCACCTAGCTTCTAGCTTCTTGCACCTAGCTTCTAGCTTCTTGCACCTAGCTTCTAGCTTCTAGCACCTAGCTTCTAGCTTCTAGCACCTAGCTTCTAGCTTCTAGCACCTAGCTTCTAGCACCTAGCTTCTAGCACCTAGCTTCTAGCACCTAGCTTCTAGCACCTAGCTTCTAGCACCTAGCTTCTAGCACCTAGCTTCTAGCACCTAGCTTCTAGCACCTAGCTTCTAGCACCTAGCTTCTAGCACCTAGCTTCTTGCACCTAGCTTCTTGCACCTAGCTTCTTGCACCTAGCTTCTTGCACCTAGCTTCTTGCACCTAGCTTCTTGCACCTAGCTTCTTGCACCTAGCTTCTTGCACCTAGCTTCTTGTACCTAGCTTCTTGTACCTAGCTTCTTGTACCTAGCTTCTTGTACCTAGCTTCTTGTACCTAGCTTCTTGTACCTAGCTTCTTGTACCTAGCTTCTTGTACCTAGCTTCTTGTACCTAGCTTCTTGTACCTAGCTTCTTGTACCTAGCTTCTTGTACCTAGCTTCTTGTACCTAGCTTCTTGTACCTAGCTTCTTGTACCTAGCTTCTTGTACCTACAATGCCGGCAAAGTTCAGGACAGCAAGTTCACTGATAAAGCTCATGTTCCAGTGGCAGATCATATTATGGAGTTGATGGCAGATGAACATGAATTGAGGACAGCAATGTTAACGTGGATGTTCAGGACAACAATGTTCAGGACAACAATGTTCAGGACAACAATGTTCAGGACAACAATGTTCAGGACAACAATGTTCAGGACAACAATGTTCAGGACAACAATGTAACACAGGAATGTTCAGGACAACAATGGTAACACATGAATGTTCAGGACATCAATGGTAACACATGAATGTTCAGGACAACAATGGTAACACATGAATGTTCAGGACAACAATGGTAACACATGAATGTTCAGGACAACAATGTTCACGACAACAATGGTAACACATGAATGTTCAGGACAACAATGTTCACGACAACAATGCTAACACATGAATGTTCAGGACAACAATGCTAACATGAATGTTCAGGACAACTGGTAACACATGAATGTTCACGACAACAATGCTAACACATGAATGTTCACGACAACAGTGCTAACACATGAATGTTCAGGACAACTATGTTCACGACAACAATGGTAACACATGGAATGTTCAGGACAACAATGTTCACGACAACAATGCTAACACATGAATGTTCAGGACAACAATGGTAACATGAATGTTCAGGACAACAATGGTAACATGAATGTTCACAACAATGCTAACACATGAATGTTCAGGACAACAATGCTAACACATGAATGTTCAGGACAACTATGTTCACGACAACAATGCTAACACATGAATGTTCAGGACAACAATGTTCACGACAACAATGCTAACACATGAATGTTCAGGACAACAATGTTCACGACAACAATGCTAACACATGAATGTTCAGGACAACAATGTTCAGGACAACAATGGTAACATGAATGTTCAGGACAAAAATGGTAACACATGAATGTTCAGGACAACAATGGTAACACATGAATGTTCAGGACAACAATGGTAACACATGAATGTTCAGGACAACAATGTTCAGGACAACAATGGTAACACATGAATGTTCAGGACAACAACGGTAACACATGAATGTTCAGGACAACAATGGTAGCACATGAATGTTCAGGACAACAATGTTCAGGATAACAATGGTAATACATGAATGTTCAGGACAACAATGGTAACACATGAATGTTCAGGACAACAATGTTCAGGACAACAATGGTAACATGAATGTTCAGGACAACAATGGTAACACATAAATGTTCAGGACAGCAATGTTCAGGACAACAATGGTAATACATGAATTTTCAGGACAACAATGGTAACACATGAATGTTCAGGACAACAATGTTCAGGACAACAATGGTAACATGAATATTCAGGACAACAATGGTAACATAAGTGTTCAGGACAGCAATGTTAACACATAAATGTTCAGGACAGCAATGTTAACAGCCGCACACATGCACGTGTCAACACGAGATCTGCTACCAAACCAATCCCGGAGCTCTCTGCATATTCAGAGACATTTGTGAACCTGTGCCAATTTGGGCAGATGTCTGAGAGCATAGGTCCTTGTCCAAAGCCCAAAGCATTTGCCACTGGTTCACTATGTTACAGATTTGTAGCAAAATAATAAGCCAGATAACTTATAAATTATTGAAAGTCAAGGAAGAGGCCAGGGGGGAAAAAAAGCACAACTGAATGCATTGTTTGAAAAGTGGGACAAGGACGCCAGCCGTTTTTCGGAGCTAGAGGATGTCACAGAGTATATGTGCAAGTTCAAACAGACCAGAAGTAGAGGGCATTAGATCAGCCCACTTTTTAATGATGCAGTTGGAATAGTTTGACCTCTCGCTTAACCAGCCTGCCATCAGACAGTTCCTGACCATGGTTATCATGAGTTGCCAGGGAACGACATATTTGACTGAAAATTCTTATGAACTCGAGATCCTATGGACAGCGCATCCGACTAGAAACCGGAAAAAAACCATTGCGGCGCTAAAGGTGCACATCCACAGAGCCTATTTACAAAGCTGTTTTTTTTTTTTCAAGCTCTGTACAATGATGCAGAGACCAATGGAGGAGAGAAAAGAATTAGTGCAAGCTTTGCCATGTTAGAAGGGGAAAAAAAAAACGAACCTTCCAGAGGAGCTGGTGCTACGGTTGGCTGTCTGTACACCAGAAGATTGTCAGTACATGGTTGAAAGCCCTTTGTTTGTGGTGTTGTTTTTGTTTTTTTTGTATTGTTTTGTCTTTTTTTTGTTTTTTGTTGTTTTGTGTTTGTTTTTTTTGTTGTTTTTGTTGTTTTTGTTGTTGTTGTTGTTGTGTTTTTGTTTTGTTGTTTGTTTTGTGTTTTTTTGTTGTTGTTTTTGCCCTTGTACCAGAATATGAAGGGTATCAGCTTTCAAGCCGTTGAGACAAACAAACCTGTAATGCCTCGAGTAGCCAAAAATGTCTATGTTTATTTTTGGAATTATAATCGCAATCCTGAAGAACGATCCGGATCTATAGTAGCAATCCTGTTGAGGGACAACAAGAAATTACACTGGAAGTTGACACCAAGATTGACCCTAGGAAAGAAACCATTTTTACAAAACACGAAAGGCCACGGCCTTCAGCATCGCCTATCACTACGTAGAGAAAGGGGGGAAATGCAAATTTGTGCAACTCCTGGAGAGAGCGTTGCCTTTTTTGGAAGAGAGCGATGTGTACTTTACAGAATCTAACCTGAAAGACACAAATGACTGGAAAATCATAGACAAGGACAATAATGGCCAAGCTGCACATGTCAGAACTCATTCGGCAGAAAAGAAAGAACAGTTTGTTTCGAAGGTACTTTGACTGTGTCGGGACATCGTACACTTTTGGCAGACACACGATACGAGACACAGCCTGGCCTAGCCGGAACACCAATGGGAAAGAGTCAGCGTTGTTAACCTCAAAACGGGAAAGCTGAAAAATATGTCCACAATATGAAAGCAAGAGAACCACAGAGACTTCTTCGGCTGTTGCAATGAGTCGAGAGCTGAGTCGGGTCTGCAAGAGTGAAAACCCGCCATGTGTGCTGGAGGCAGACTGATTCTGTGGTTGGAATCAACATCATGTTTGAGGGTCACATGATACAAGAGACAACATATCCCGCACTGACCCACAGTCTTATAGTGAAATCAAAGGTTTCTTCGAACAACCACCAGTCATAGCTTAAGTTCTTTGAGCCAACATTGCTATCTTGAAAGTGGATCCAGTTGGCGATGGAATATATGATAACTGGGATGATATCAACAGTGATCTGATAAACAAGAGACGACTCCCA